CAAAAATATTTTAGAAAAAAAATTATAGCTGCTCTCAGATTCTTCTCAGCTCTTTACTCATTTTGTCTGGCAGGACTGCTCAAGTTAATGTTTGTTGTCTCAGCAGAACAGAGAACAGATCCTAGATTTCCATGCTTATCTACTTGTAAAAAATGCTGTTTTCTTCTGGAACAGAGAACCTAGATTTAGTTCAGTCATTACATTAATTTTTCTAATGCATTCCTGGTCTCTGGAGACAGGTGGTTCAGGATGGAGAGAGATAAATATAGCTGCTTCTCCATGGAGCATTCTGTTGCCTCAGGTTTCCAAATCCAAATTAAGTAGTTAATGATTTATGTATACACTGAGCATTAGCATCTTTGTGCCACGTTAGTCATCAGATCACAAGTGGCTCTAAAGAGGCTTTAGTCAAACAAATGAATATTAGGTTGAATGATTCAGCTCACTTCATGTAAACAGTTCCAGCATGTTCACATTGATCATCACTAAACTCACAGAGGCAGCAGGCTCAGTTGTAAAGCTGAAGGAAAAAACCAACACTGTCACAGAAGCAGCAATGAATCCTTGGATCTTTCCTAAATTTAGCTTTTATCACATGGATATGTCCTTCTCCAGATGCATTATCCAATACAATCCAACACTTATTAAAGCCTCACTGAGGCCCTTATGAAATGGCAGGTGCAGAGATTTAACTCGTGCTTTTTAGACACTGAGCAGGCAATACAGGGCAGGTGTGAATTCTTCATCCTTACCAAACCTTCTGGTTGTACCATTTGCTCTTTAAATCAAAGTTTCCTCTGAAGGTTGTTGGGTTGGGTTTTCTCCTTCTCAGATCTGACACTCAACATGAAACATTTTATCACCTTCAGTCTTCACTGACAAGACCAACCCTCAGGAATCTCTGACCCAGGAGACTAGGGTAAAGGAATGTTGGAATGAAGACTTTCCCTTGGTCAAGGAAGGTTGGGTTAGAGAACACCTACGCAAACTTGACATCCACAGGTCCACGGCCCCTGACTTGACAAAGCCAAGCATTCTGGTAATGAGCGAGAATTGGGTTCACTCTGCAACAAGAAAAGCAAAATTGTCTAAAAAGCAGAGTTAACTTGCAGCGATGGCCTTGAAAGAAAAATTCAGAGGCAACTTGAATAATACCAATTTTCAAGGTTAAATTAATTTTGGTTTACAGACGCAAGATCATTACTGCGAATGGTTTGGCCTGATCAAGTGGAATAATTAAATTTCAAAAAAGGGAACATGTATTAAAAAAAAACAGGTTTTGCTTTCTTGTTTATACTCTGCTTTAGGTAAACTGACATCAGAAGTCCTTTAACAACAGTACTGCTCAGCCCCAGTCCCACATTGACAACAAGGCAATTCTCCGAATGCAGAGAAGATAAATGGTGCTAATGCCACTAAGCAAACATGACATTTTTGTTGTACTGTGATCATAGATGAGTCACCAAGTAAAATGATTAATCACAAATCAATGTTACTAGGCTCATTTAGAGATGATTCTCCCTTTGGAAAGCAGGTAGAAGCTCTAAATTTATAGGCTAATGCGTTTATTCTAGCTGTAGCAGTCTCGTTATTGGTCTTAAGCATCAGAGTCTGCAGGAAATTTGTGTGCAATTAAGCTAAAGTGATGACCTCCTTATACACATTTTGGCACTTTTTTATCTGATAGTCTGTTGTGCAAATATATAAATGAATTGAAGCATTACATAGAAATTACAGCTAATGCAATACTAAGAAAAATAGACATATCCCTGAACTTTAATACATATGCCAATAAGGTACCTCGACCATAAATTACACTCATTTTATCAGTCTGCAAATGGGTTTATCAGTCCACAAATGGGTTTGTGCTAAGACTTTAGACTGCTTCATTTTTGCTTGGCTAACATTTGTAACTTCTACAAACAGTTTTATGATCTAAATTGTTTCAGGAGGAAGTGCATGGATTTGTGGAGCAACATGTTTATAAGTCAAATATACACTGTGAATACTTTCTATTTGGTAAATAAATTCACGTTATATAAAAATTAAGCAGAAAAAAAATTCTTTCAAACAAAAAGCACCGTAGTGCTTTTCTCCTCACCTTGAATTTTGTGAAATTAAATACTCACATAGACTCATGCACTTTTTTATCTGTCTATCTAATCTGTCAATATAAATTGTTGCTGGAGTGATCATTTCCACCCTGCAGAGGGTAGAAGACTGTGCCAATCCTAGACATAATAGGCTCTAGATCCCTGTACTACCAGAGGGGGGCAATTCCAAAGCAGAGCTGGCTGAATATCAAAGATTTTGATTTAAAGAACATTTCATGATTTAAAGAACATGAAATAAATACATGACATTTGATCAGCTTTAGTGTTCAGTTACGCTTTCAGAAGGGAGTCATTAGTTGAATATAATATTCTTGTGACAGTGGTGAAAGTCACACAGCACCATAATCAAAGCTTTTAGACTCTCCCAACACCCAACAACATCCAATGTGTTTGCTCTGCTCAGCAGTAACGACAGGATGGGGTGGAGAGGTCCCCAAGCTGCTCTGTGTTCTAGAAGAGCAGAGAAGAGTTCCCAAGTAGAACTGCCCCAAGACTTGTCAGGTCCTAAGCCAAAATAATCCACAGTAACTTCTAAGCAGCTCACACTGCTCCTGCCAGGAAGTACCAAGTGCCACGTTCCAGAGGCATCTACACAGACATTACAGTGCTGGTTTGAACTTGGCACCACTGCAACAACTGTCAGACTGAGCAGGAAAAAACACACTACAGGAAGCTCCCTTTCAAACAGTACTTTCCGTGCTCCAAAGGAAGCCCAATTCAGAGGTTGTTATTCAAAAAAAATCAAGCTAGTCGAGCTGCATCTTCTCTCCCCACCTCCCAGGGACAGACAGCTATCTACATTACGAGACTCAGCACATTACAAGCTGATTGCTTGTTTTCTATCATCACCTAATATTTTCAAGTGCAAAATTCTCAACCCCCATTGAGGAAGGTTGAATTCAAAACACAGACCAGGAAACATAAAGCAACAACACAGTGCATGCAAAAGTTAACACTAAACAGGAGTGCACTTCCACCTTTCAGCTGCAATCAGCAGGACTAGGAAGGAATTAACAGTCACCATGAACAGAAAAACCCAATTTTTTCCTAAGTCACTGGGAATGTTATTATTGTAAAACTGACCCTTACCAGACAGATCCCTGCTTCAAAAACAGCATAAGAAGAGAAGTAAATCTCCCTAAATTCCTTTTAATAGGACATTAAAGAATAAAGAAAAGGTTCTGTAGCAAAGAAATGTTGGCAGCTGCAGTCTAAAATGCTGGTAAATAACCACAGTGCTCCCTCTGGTGACAACAGAGGGGGTGAGGCACCTGCCGTGAGAATCTGCATATCCGTGTCAAACTCCAGTATCAGCTACAGCAACACATCTTCCTCCTTTGAGAAACTTTGTAACAATACAGCAGGTACTTCCACTGAAGAAGGATTAGGAAGACTCTAATGCCACAATGAGTTATCACGCAGGAGTGTGTTCTACGTTACCAGAAATAAGCTTTTACACCACTGGTGCTGCCAGGTGTCAGTCACTGCAGCATGTAAAAAACAGCACGAAATGACATTTCAGATTAGAAATGTGAATTTGGATTTAAATTCCTTTTCAGCACCAGAGAAACCACTTACAAGGGATGAATGTTCTGGAAGGAGGTGAAAAAACGCTTCTATCCAATAGGACACAGGACCTTTAGGAGTTCATACAAAGGATCTCAGGAAACCAAATTCTAACTAGTTCTGTACTGGAAAATGTTTGGATCAATTGTATAGTTCAGGCCAGTACAGTAAGAATGGACTGAGGACAGCAAGCCCATAGTCAATGACACCCTTCCCTGTCAATTTATTAAAGGAAGTTTATCAATTTGTTTTGCCAGTGGGGAAACCTTCATTCAGCTTGTGCCTAGATAGTCTTTGGCCATTGAGACTTTCTCAGTGCAATGAAACTGGACAGACTTAAGAGATGATGAAGAAATGTTTAAGGAGGGCTAATAAGAGATCCACAGCATGCTGTGTTTGGTTATGCCCAAGTGGCTTCATTGACAGACAGGCAACTGTTTGCCAGGAGGTACAACTGACCTGTGCAGCTGGTGCCTTGGTAATGAACTGCTGCAACAGGACCCGTTGGGGAAGTTCCTGTGATTCAGGAAGCTTAAGCATCAGCTTCCCTGCAGCTTCCAGGTGCTATCCAGCCAGCAGTCAGTCCTTACAACAAGCAACATTGGTACAGGTCAAGGTCCTTGGAAACATTTCAGGTTGGTTTTTTTTCTACAAAACATTCTGCACTGTCAGTCACCTTTGGGTGAAAAGTCAAAACACACAAGCAGGCTGCCCAACTGCAGGCAAAGCAGTGTCCTTGCTGTTGCTGCATGTCCTGGTGTGCATCACTGCAGCTTCTGGCATCCCCACACACCCACTTCTACTGTGGCAAATGAGACCCAGATTTACAGCAGTGACACTCAGTGCCTGCATGGTGAACCATAAAAGCATGGCAGGTTGGCAGCTTGCAAGTCTTATTAGGGATTCCCAACATCCCAGGACAGGTGGTGGTTTGATGGCTGTGGGTACTGAGGGTGACAGCAGTAGATTCAGTTTACAGCTGGTAACAACAGTGATTAGACTGTCTGTGCCCACAGTCACACAGGATAGAGTACATATAGGAAAATCCCTCTGGCACAGAAATCCATGCACAGACATCTTCGAGCACAGGCTCTTGGGTTACATCATTCACAACAATGAATTGTTTCCCTATGACACAATTCTTGTCAGATTTTGTGGATAACAAATGCTTCTGGTTAAGGAGGGACCAGTTTGCTTTCTGACATCAAGAAACACTAAGGTGAGCCACTTTATTTGTAGTTTCTGCCTGAACAGGGACTCTGCAGGCCCTGTATATGAATCCCCCTGCTCTGAAGAAGATACCACATAGTTTCACCAGAATATCTTTGCTATATGTCATCAATTTTAATTCCAACCTGTACTTTAATATGCACATAACTATTTTCAAATACAAGGAAAACTTGAAGTCAACAGCATCAGAGCTTTCAGTAAATCCTTCACAACTTCAGAAAAATCTCTATAAACATTGTGTAAAGTAGATACAGAATGTACAGAGAACAGTTTTCTATACAAAAGTGCATTTTAGCAATACAATTAGCAGAGAACCTGGGGGGAAAAAAACAACTCAATTTAAGCAGTACCATTACTCTAATGTATACCCTCCCCTCTCCCCCTAAAAAAGACCAAAAAAAAAATTAGACCCCCCACTTTCCCCTTGCTTTGGTTATAAACTATATTCAAGGCTTCAATATTACAATTATTTTTTTTACACTGAAGAATTTGTCATTTGGAAATGTTTCAAAGTTAGCCAGGTGAGAGAGAATGCAAGTATGATTCATCAGAGTTAATAGTCAAAATAGACAAGCTTTGAATATTACTAGGATGTGCTCTTGATAGATTAATAAACTATCTTTGCAATCCTTAAATGGACAACTGCATGTTGACTTTTCTATGCCCAAGAACTGCAAGATCAGTAAGCTTAAGAACATTAAACCAATAAATCTAACAACATTTGCCATGAAAATCTGGCTTATAAGAATGAACTGTAAGTGCTCCCAAAACAGTTGGGTTTATTAATATTTATAGATCAATGCACCAGCTGATTTCAAAGTTGAAAGAGTGTTAAGAGAAAAGAAATGGCTTCAGGCCATTCAGCAGAGATGAACTGTAAATATTGCCATTTTTTTATGTTTCTATATTGTAAATGCATTCTGATGTCAATGCATGTACCTAAGTTCAAGCAGGTTGGTTTGGGGTTTTCTCCCCCCCTAGAGAATGATCTTCACAGGTTTCAAACCACGACAGGAGAACCAAAATTTAGGCCCTAGTAAAGTCTTGCAAAGACTTTTCTTGCTCTTTCAAGTAAGCACCCCACACTGAGCATACTGTAACTGCCTTTTTATCAGTTTCCCAGATAAAGAAAAATAGGTATCTTAACAAAGACAAAAGATGACACTGGATACACACACAGAAATCAACCAGGTTTGTCAGGCAGCTTTCTTCCTCGTATTTAAAATCATATTAGAAAAGAATGTTCTCTATTGTTTACAGTCTTATTGCAATCAAAATTTCAGTGCTCCTTCTAAGCCTTTATAGAGAAAAAGTTACCATGGAAGCAAACCGTTACCTTTACAGAGTGTAAATTAATTACATTCATATGGCAGTGGGTACAAAGCTCCTACATACACAGCTTCAGTACCATGGAATCATGGAACTCTGAGCTTTTTCCTGTGTGTCTCTATCTTACTTTTAAGCTTGACATTTTTTTCTCTGTGAATAAAAGCAGAGATTTGATTAAAAAAAAAAAAAACACCAAACAAACAACAAAAAGAATGTATTATTTTAGCAGTTTGTTACTCTTCATCTGAACCCAGCAATTTACAGCTGTAGCCACAATGGCCAACACTTGAATTGGCAAGACCAGGTTTAACTAAAATTCCAGCTGTTTGATTAATGCCATGGGTATTTAACACAAATTCATAGAATCATTTAGATTGGAGAAGACCTTTTAAGATCATCAACTCCAATCCTAAATCTAGCACTGCCAAGTCCACCACTGAACCACGCCCCTAAGTGCTACGTTTAGGTGTCTTAAATACCTCCAGGGATGGGATCTGCCTGGGTAAGCACAGAGCACACAGCAGGGAAAGACAGGATTTCGACCAAAAACTTTCCCCACCACAAACTGAGCATGTCACTAGAACTATGGATGATGAGAAAACAAAAGGGAAAAAACCCCAAATGTGTAGAAATATGTGAGAACCCTTGAATCCTACAGCTACTTCAAGCCTGATTCTCTGAGATCAAAGATAACACTGTATCTCTGAGTACCTGGCAAAGAACATCCAGGCAAGTAAGATGTTACTCTGCATCCTTACCAGAACATTCAGAGTTTTGTATTCTTATGTTATAATCATCCTGGGTCTATGAGATTACAGAGCTATAAATTGCTATCATGGAATCCCTGGAAATCCACTTTCTTCTTCCATTTTAACTGTCACACAAGTGATTGAAGTACCTGCTGGAGACAACACACCACGATCAGCTATTGTGGCATCCAGGACCTTTTCATACAATGTGACAAGAAACTGGACCCATCTAATCACTTGGATTAATTTATACTTACATGCTCAACCTAAGATCAAGGTGGAAATACTACCCTCCCTCGTTTCATGATCTCCAGAAACCAGTAGATAGGTGACCAAAAGCAACTGTACCTCATCAAAATGAGGGGGTCTTCTCTCAACAAAACCTGAGGCATTTTAAACTCTGAAGAACTGCTGGAACAGAAAAAAGTTACACACTTTCATGCTCCACCACACTGAGATACTGCACCTTTCTTACAATTCACTTCAGAGTTTCCATTCTCTACAGTATTAAGTGTACATTCTTCTTCAGAAAAAAATAATTCAATCATATTTCAAAGTCACTGCAGAAAATAAAGGTTGTACTGAACTGCTACAGTGTACACATGGTGAAATATTCCATGATGAATTCATCCATTACCATGCAAGAGTTTAACCACTGCACCCTGAAATTAGCTGAATTGGCAGCAATTACATTTTGTCTTTCAAGGAAATACTGAGATGTTACAGACACTCGTGGTTAGTGGCCAAATAACTGCTCATATGGGATAGCTAACACTTGAGCTTAAAAATGACACTACATGGCTTTTAATCAGTGAGCCGACAAGTCTCCCAATTCTGCAGGATTGGGCTATATCCTGCAATTACAGACACCTGTGGCCACACTAAACTGCCAAACTCCGTAATTCAAGAGCAAAATTAAAGTAATGAAGCATCAAGATAATAAAAAACTATTTACTAAATTCAGAACTCAAAAATACTTTCATAATCTTTTAAGTTTCACATTAAAATTTAGAAGCATTATTTTTATCTCAGCGGGGGGAAGGAGTTCTGTAAAAAGTAGTTCCAAAATAAAGACAAAAATCACCTTAAAGATCATCAGAATTAGGAAACAGCTTAAAACTACTTTTACTTCCCTACCTGAAAGCCACAATTTTACCTCATTTTCTTACCAAGAGAAATTTCAAAAGCCAATAGACAACAAAAGGAGATTCTGATACATGTCCTGGTGTAACAACCCACACAGAAGATACCCTCAGCTAAACATCCAGCTGCATTAAAGTTCTCCTGTCAACAACATGTACCTAATTTAGATGTGCTTCTGGAGAAGAAAAACACTGAAGTTGTGTGCCACTTGTTTGCACTTCTGTTTCCAGTAGAGTTCTTAACTACTGTAAGTAGTGTCCTCAACATCTTAGTTGCAGATTAGTGTCCTTTCAATGCATAAAGACATTTTTATTGGAACCTTTACATGGAAAGAGAAGGGATGTACTGGTCAACCATTAGCAATAATCCTAAGATATTGAGCAGCTTCTGAAGACTAAGCCTGCAATTCTTGGAGGTTGTTTTAATTCTAGTTGCTTCCTAAGAACTACAGCATTAGGCAGTATTTGTTACAGATTCCCTGCATTAGAAGTCCTGTTTCTTGTTTTCTGTGTAGTTTGAGTTAAATTGCAACTTTCAGAAAAGAATTTATGACAGTACTTTGATTTCCTACAATTCAAGAGCAAGACTGAAGAAAGCCCCGTAGAATACAAAGATTTTTTTTTCCTCATGCTAAACAATCTCCCTAATAATGGGAAAGGAAGACAGAACAAGTCAAGTGGAATACTAACTCTAAGTTGTAAAAAAACAAAGAAGCTGAAGCATAGCAATGCATGCTTTGTGTCATCCAAGAGCACCCCTAGACTTACATCTTGCAAGTAAAGTTAACATATTAGCCAAGTTCAGATTTCCTTGAAATTGTATTTACTCAGCAGCTTTTCAGAAGTCATGTATGTTTCTGAATTCTTTATTGCAAAATTAGTCTCAAAAAGCTGAAGTTACTCAATACTTAGACCTTCTTAGCAAAATTACACTTGATAAAAGATCTGGTTTATATTATTAACACTAATCAAAATTTGGTCAAGAAATATATGTAAACAATAAGGATAATACAGTTAAGGCTTAGAAAGAACACTGATAAATTCACCCCTGTCACATTAAAACATCCACATCTCCTTCATGGTCCTCCTCAGTCACTTTTAAAGACAGCACTTCTTCATTAAGGAATAATCCACTCAGTCTTTCCTTACGAGCTTGTCTCTGTTCTTTCAGCTGTCTCTTCCGTAAGGCCTTTTGCTGGAGTTTCCGTTGCTTGGAACGTTTCTGTCAAAATAAAGAAGAGACAAAACATAAGATTTTATCCTGTAGATTAGAAAACACTTCTAAAGTTGGCAAATGTAAGTTATCCTCTAAAATAACATTTGCTCTGAAAAATAACTAATATGAATTCTCAGAGGTGGTGTAAATATTAATTCAAAATTGTATCTGATATTAAAATATCAAGACCATTTACCATATCTGAGTTATGAGGCACAACATTACCCTGTGATGTTGCACAGTCGAGTTTTTGATTGGAGGAATCTTTACTGCTGGGGAAAAGTTACAGTCTTACATTAACAAACCCAAGATGTTGAAGAGCAAGCAAGAACTGCTCCTTTCCTCCACCCCTGAAATTGAAATTATGGAGACACAACAATTGTCACAGTACTACTTTAAATGGAACGTGATTCAGAGGGTCACTCCTCACCACATAATCTCAGGACACATGGAAGAATAAACTGAAGAAGATTCAAAAAGCCTGATGAAACTTCTGGTTGGGAAAAAAAAAAAAGCACACAAAAGAAAAACAAAACACAATCAAGATAGTCTTTAGTATCCAGAAATTGTGCCTAGGTTAGGGTGACCAATCTTAAATAATTATTTTTTATAAACTGTGTGTGTTTTTAAGTTAGATGCATAAGCCCTTATTCAAGCCCACTCACATTACTCTAAACAAAAGGAATTATAAGACCTGCTACAAACATCAGGCTTTCTCTTAGAAGAGAAATTATGGCAAGAGCACGAGTTTTAACTCCTTGTGATTATGTCATACCAAATAGTCAGCTCTGGTTTATCTAGTTAACTCAGTTACTAGCTGTGTTCCTTCAGGACAAACATCCCAGGTAAGATCACATAAGCAAGCTTAAAGAGTTAAGACAGCTTAGTGCAGATTTACATAATTAGAAACTTTACTTTTGAATCCCGGATTCTCTCCGCAGCACTCGAGGACAAGTTACTATCGCTGTGCGCTCGACTCATGTTGGCACTCGAGTTTGAGGCGGAGTTGGCGACGCTGGAGCCGCTGCTGCTGGCTGAGCTGACCATGCTGGCGCTGCTGCTGCTGGCGCTGGCACCGCTCACACCGCTGGTACTTGCACAGCTGTAGCTGCTCCTCTTCCAGCTCTCCCTCGCTGACCGCTGCCGAGGTCCGTGCTCCTTGATGTAGTTCCTCACCTGTAGAACAGAGGCAGCAAAGTTACTAAGGCTTGATAAACGCTGCACTGAGATGCTCCTTCCCATGGAAAAGGCAATTTGCCTGTTAATGATCAAGTTATTGCATCGGTTCAGTTAGACTTTTAAAATATTTTGCTGTGGCTGCTTAAATCCAAAGCCATCTGGCAGTCACCCAGAGAGCTAAGTTAAAATTAGATTCACTATGGAAGGAAGAAAAAAAAGTAGCAAGGTTTGGGGTTTTTTCTCCTCTCCTGCTCCTCATGTTTGCTACTACGTTAGTTATTATTTTAAAACCAAATAGGAACATCAGTCAAGTTCAACTGAACTAAGCTGTTTACTTAATGTCCTTTATTTTGCTAGGTATACTCAAACAAAAATGGGTGTAAGTAAAGCACTACTTTTCTACTGTAAGATGATACTTAAAAATGTTTGAATATGAAATAGGCCAAGTCCATAAAAGCAGTGAATGCTTTCCATTTTCACTCTTCACTTTCATCATAATCAGAGTAACACTGAGGAATTCAGTTTGCTTGGACACCACATCTTTTCCCAACAACACATCACAGTAGCACAAAGACTAAGAAGTGGGATGTATATACCCTACCAGCCAACTACCCTTCTTTGTTATAATTCCTATTTTGTAACATCTTTAAAACGCATTTTTTTATCTTCCTTTCTACATAAAATTTATGGTCTTCCCCAACCAATCCCAATCTTCTGGAGTTTTAAATGCTACTTTATATTCAGTGAGCAAATGAAGATCCTCAGCTAGCTGATGGTCATGAGGTGAGCGACACTGCCATAAGCAGCACCAGGCCTACAATACACACTTGCCAGCTTAGCCTTAACACATACTGAGAATGCACAGCCACAGCCTTTCATATAAAGGTTTCCCTCATTGACAATATTGTGCTCTAGTGTATATCTCTACATCTAATGATTAGGTGTAAAAATTGATGACAAGTCCATATGATTTTCCAAGACATATCAGATGCTGAAACCCCAAAGTCAAATGTACAAACTTTAACTCACCTGTTTCAGTTTTTCATCTGTGAGACAGTTCAATTCAATAATGAATTCACTATCTGTAGGTGAGATCTGAGCAGTAGGATCAATAATTTTAATAATATCGAGTTGCTCTCGAAGGCCCATCTCTGTACTGACTTTGCGACTCAAATATTCAATATATTCAACCTAGGATCCAAAGAGAGGCAGGTCATTTTAAAGTATCATTGATTCCAAATGAGAGACAGAAAAACAGGAAGGACCAATAGGATAAAACATGCTCAAATATCACTATTCTAGCCTTGAGTATCTTTAAAAACTCAGGGTGAAAACTTAAGTAGGCATTAAACTGCCTCTTACAGATCCAAAGGGCAAGAAGATTTAGTTTTGAGAACCAAGCAGTGCTGTACAGGTCTGCATTTATATCTACAGCAATCAGATTGCTGTAGATATATTTTTATTTAAGCTGTATCTTTTAATGGAAAGTTCTTCTGTACATTGCAGTTCTCACATAGTAAAAAAAGTCACCTGTTCATCATTTGTCATCGCGCTCCACGGAAGTTCATCGAGATTCCTATGCTTGTTTTTCTTTTTCGGAAGCAGACAAGGAGAGCTTGGAATACTAGGTATAACATCAGAAAGCACATCACTCCCACTAGCAATGTCACTGCCAGGCAACTTGTAACGTGCAAGAGAAAGAACAAAGCTTTAGAGTACAGTAGGCAGATTGTAAATCACTCTAACACTATTAGCCATTCAAAACACACTGTCAAATTAGCAAAGCATCGATTATCTCTGTACTCCAACCACTTCTTTGTAATTACTCATAACTCCGCAATACTCCCTCGAATCTTCCAACAAACAACAAGTGCAGCAAACTCAATTCACACCATTCTCCACTTATCTCAATCCTAGTTTTAAAAATCCACATTTAAGGAAACAGTAGAATGATGTGGTATTTCAACTATTTCCCTTTTTCATTGGTGAAAATTGTCCATTACAACCCAAACTTAAATCTAAACCCCCCCATTTCAAAGCATAAATCTAGTTTAAGGAAGATAATTTCAAAGTAGGTCTGTAATTCATACCACACCCCATAATTACACAAGAATATTCAATTAAAATCACTGTCATTTGCCTGGAAGCAACTGCAGAACTTCAGCTAACTTCATTTATACAACTGACACATGATTTCTGAATGCACTTCCAGTTGAAGTGGGACAGTTGGATTACTCATGCTCAGATTGTGCCAGATAACACCATAAAGAGCTGCAAAAAAGCCTTTCCAAAATTTTACAAGTCCAATCAAGTATGTCTCTTAAAAAGCAAAGAGTAATAAAAAAGCTAGATACCAGTCAAACATGCTGTCAGCTTAAGAAATAGCTTCTTTTCAAAACAATTGCCAAGTATATCACGCAATTAAAATTTCACAGCTCAGTGAAGCTCTGAATCTTTGGGATCCAACCTGAGTGGTTCCTACAGGCTGCATTATACACATTACACACGCACTTGTAACTTCTGCAATGCATAAAGACCAGCAGATAGACTAAACCAGTCAGAAATTCAGAGCTAATCTCAGTGCATGTCTTGAAGTTTTTTGCATCTTCTGGAACAGGATCTGAACTTTTCATTTCTTATTGTGCCCTTAGGACTCTACATGCTTTGACTAAGCTTTACGACAAAATTTAAAAGTATGACCTTCACTCACTCCTCCAGATTAAGAAGGCTGGAACAAAATTAAACAAAACATTTCTTTATCACTGAAGATTCAGTTATCTGTTCCTATGCTCAGTGGTTACAAAGAAACAAATGCTGACAAGGTCATTTGGTCTGTTCAGCCTGGAGAAGAAGAGACTGTGGAGAGACATCACAGCTGTCTGCAGCTTCCTCACAAGGGGAAGAGGAGGGGCAGGCACTGAACTCTTATCTCTGGTGACCAGTGAAGTTGTGTCAGGGGAGGTTTATGTTGGGTATTAGGAAAAGGTTCTTCCCCTGAAGGGTGGTTGGGCACCGAACAGGCTCCCCAGGGCAGTGGTCACAGCACCAACTCTGACAGAGCTCAAGGAGCGTTTGGGCAACGCCCTCAGACACGTGGTGGGATTCCAGGGGCTGTCCTGTGCAGGGCCAGGAGTGGATTTTGATGATCCTTGTGGGTCCCTTCCAACTCAAGACATTCTGTTCTATTCTACAGCTTTTCAACTACAACTAAACCCAGCACACAACAGTCTACACAAAATTTGACATTTGCAGTGGAACTAGTTTACCTGCCATTCAAACTCACTGTCTGACCAATCCCAGTAGGTGCTGATAGAAGAAGAGACATCACTGCAGACACTGCCCTCGGGGAACAAATCAAAAGAGGTGAACTCCTGGTCATCCAGCAGAGAGTAACAGTCATCCTGATCACCCACTGAAACCGATGAGAACAGCTCCTCACTGCACTCCGAGCTGGCGACGCTCGTTCCACAGGATGTCAAGTTCCACCTGCAAAACAGGACAAAACAATTAGAAAGCAGCAAACATTGGCATCACGTGGCCTGAAAAATTCTTTTAAGCCTTTTAAAACTATCTCCACTTTGCTTGCATTATACATGCATTTTACTGGAGTTATAATTATGGAAACTGAAGTATTGTAGTTTAAAATATTTTTTAAAGTCCATAAACAACACCAAGGGGAACCCAAGGTTAAAAATGGCCAGGCAAAAATCCACATACAGTTAGTATAATTACACCTTTGTTTTAACATATGATCAGTTTCCACCCCAGAGCCACGACTCCTGTAGTATGTGAATTGCCTTTTTTTGCTGTTGGTTGGATTTTTAAAATACACTGATCTAAATATAAAGTTTTCCATATATTTGGATATTTAAACTTAAGTGAAAATTGAAATAAGCAGAACTAAAAAGTTAATCAATCGGACATCAGGATAAATAGAAGTCAAAAAGAAATTCTAGGCTGATAATCCCCCACAAAACTGAGGCTTAATAAGGCAACACATTATGGATCCATTACTCACAACTCTGAATGTCAAAAACATTGGACATGCTACTGGAATAAAACAGTGCAAGATGTGAAAATGACCTGTGTGAAAATGCTACCATACCAAAACTAAACACATTTCCCCCCTCACTCTTACATTTACAAAGCTAGTTAATGCTGTTGCTAAAAGAAAGCTATTGAGGACTCAATTTTCACAGAACAGGTTTTTTGCTCTAATGAGAGTAAGTCAGAATTTAACAAGCTCATGAAATCAGTCTCCATATCTGGATTTATTTTACATACTGGTGAAAAGTAGGTCGAGACAAATATGAGTCAGCACAGCACTGCAATATGGCCAAAACAATTTGAAAAGGGCTTCTAAAATGCACCACACAAACCCACACAATCAACTCCTTTTCCATCAGCCTGTCCACTTCAGCCTGGCTAACTAGAAAAACACTCCTCTTCCATCCAACTGCCAAAGCTGGGCAACCTCATCACCCTGAAGGGCTGGTCCTCACTGTCATTATTTAGGCTGCATACCAGGTTGGCTAAATATGTTTGTGATGGATTCACTCCCACATCTACTTGGCCAGCAGTGAATTTATCCAATGTTCAAGACATTTCCAAAACTCCTCTTTTAGCAGATTCAGGAGATCCTGCCCTGCCTCCCTTCCTGGATCCCTTACAGATGTGAAATGTTTCACCAGTTTGGACTTTTGTGGGCAGGGCAGTCAATTGGTACGGAGCAGAGCACGGGTGTAGTGACACAGCACACTTCTCAACATGACTACAGTTACAGAATTCATGAAATATTGATGAAAGAAAAGACAGAGTAGACAAAGTTTCCAGACCCATCAACACAAAGGGTGAGGTGCAGGGGCTCTACCACCACCCCGCTATGCAGATACTCCAGGTACAGGCAGTCAGCCCTCACACTCTCATACCCAGCAGGGTCTGCCAGGCTTACTGGGGTGAACTGGATTAACAACAAGTGGGAACTACATTAAAATTACTCTTAACATCAAAAAACAGAAAGCCTTTTGCAAACACCACAGATTGAGCTGTGCATCTGCAATGGCTTAATGAGTGTGTGTCCTTGCCCAAAAAAGTGAAATAGCCATCTCAAGATGCCTGAGTTACAAACCTGCATTTGTAAAATGAACAAATCTAAGTAACACACTTGGGAAGTGAAAGGCAACACAAAGAGAAACTCACAAAATGACTATCACACATTTATCTTACAGATATGCTAAGAATATATCTCACTGCTCATGTCACAATTGTGTCTTATGATTTAAGAACCCTATCATGAAAATGTATCATATTTGATAAAGGTTGTTTGTGCTGAATCATTGAAGAATCTATAATTAAGAGTTTGCCCTTGTGAATGACACTTTTAAAGTGCAATTTCCATGATTTCATACAAATTCAACTAAAAGATTCTCTTATTATTCACTCTTCATAAGTGTGCAGTAGAAACACTAATAATCAGTATAAGTATCTGGCAAGTCTGGAAAAGGAACTAGAACTGGCCCACACATATGTTCGTGACTGAAATCTCACAGACTATTCTCAAAAAAAAAGCTATTGCTATATTCAAGTTTAATACTATGCATTAGGAGAATTATGTTCTTAGGAAAGCAGGACTGTGATTTTCATTTCATAAGCACAATTGGAATTTCTTTGTAGAGCTGTATTTGCACTTTTTGAATGGATCTTTTCTACAAATTACAGGCAGAATAATTTGACAATCATTAGTACCATGGGATGGAAATGTTTCTGCAGGAGTCGGTGCAGTCACCGAGCTGCCTGACTCATTCTGAACCTCTACAGGTTTGCCTGGTGTCCATGCAAGGCCTGCTTTTAACTCTTATAAACACACCACTCTGCAGCTGACCACCCTACAGTGCTCAGAAATCACCAAAAGTCTCAAAAAATAAAACGTTCGGAAGGGAACGAGGCTTGGAGCAACCTGGCTCAGCAGAAAGTATCCCTGCCCAGGCCAGGGGGGTTAGAACTAGATGATTCTTTAGAGTCCCTTCCAACCCAAACCAGTCTGTCATCCTACGAACAAACACATCTTTAGAGAACGACCCGGCTCACGCCGACAGGAGTAACGTGATGAGCCGAACCCCGACTAACCCAAGCGCAGGGCAGCCCAGCAGGGCGAGCGGAGCACCCTCAGCCCGGTCACACCCGGCTCGCACCGGGCAGGGGAGCGGGGCAAGGATGCCCGGCCCCGTCCGGGGGCAGCAGCGGCCCCGAGGCCCCTCAGCACAGCCCGGGCGCACCTGTTGGAGTGGAAGCGGTGCAGCGGGTCGGTGCGGTGGCAGGACGAGAGCTGGCAGCCGAAATCGCTGACGTCCAGGCAGCCCTCCTCGCTCAGGCTCAAGCTGCCGCCGCGCGGCGGGTGCTGGTGCGAGAGCAGCGGGCACGGCTCCTCGGGGGCCAGGAACTTCTCGTACGGCTCCTCGGTCATGGCGGCGGGCGCGGGGGCGGCTCGGGGGCGGCTCGGGGGCGGCAGGGGCGCCTCAGGCACCCGGCGGCGGCGGCGGCGGCGCCATCAGCGGCCGGTCCCGGGACGCGCCGCGCTGTCACGGCCGCTCCTTCCGCCGCCGGCCCCGGCCCCGCCGGCGGCGCAGCGCCCCCCGCGGCGGGGAGGGCGCACGGCGGGGCCATGGCGGCCGCGGTGGGCCACGGGCTGGGCGAGGGTGGCGGCGGCCGCGGGTTCTTGGGCCCGCGGGTGCCCGCCGAGGTGGAGGCCATGGCCCGCGCCCTGCAGGACCTGGGCAAGGACACGTTCCGGCGGCTCCTCAAAGGTAGGGCCCGGCGCGGAGGGGCCCCCGCTGCACCCCCAGGCAGGGGCGGGAGGGGTTCGCAGCCAGAGGTGATGGGCGGGAGCGGCGCACCCCGAGGAGGCTGTGGATCCTCTCGGGAAGGCACGGACAGCGCTTAGGGAGCGTCCAGAGGAGGGCTGCGAAGATGGGGAAGGGCCTGGAGGGGCAGCCGTGTGAGGAGCGGCTGAGCGCACTCGGTCTGTTCAGCTGGAGGAGACTGAGGGGAGACCTCATTGCAGTTACAATTTCCTGGTGAGGGTAAGAGGAGGGGCAGGCACTGATCTCTTCTCTGGGGTGACCACTGACAGGACCCGAGGGAATGGCCTAAAGTTCTGTCAGAGGAGGTTAGGTTGGATATTAGGAAAAGATTCTTCACCTGTAGGGTGGTTGAGCACTGGAACAGGCTCCCCAGAGCAGTGATCACAGCACCAGCTCTGACAAAGTCCAAGAAGCATTTGGACAAAGCTCTCAGACACCTGGTGGGATTGTTGGGGTGTCCTGTGCAGGGTAAGAGTTGCGCAGAATGATCCTTGTGGGTCCCCTCCAACTCAGAAATTCTGTGATTCTGTGACAACTGAGGGGCTTGCAGCTTGCTGTGTCACTTCCCATTGCCTTTCCCATCAGGAAGTTAGAGCTGCGGGTTAAATACAAGGACAGGCTTGCTTGGTTCTTTTCTACAATTCTGTAAAAACCGTGAAAATGAGGAACAGACTTCTGCAGCTGTGGATGGCCCCTGAACTCAGGCTGAGTTCCGTTAAAGTTATTCCTCTCTTGTCCCTGTGCTCCAGAGCCAGTGGCCCACTCACTGTCAGGCTGTGTGTGACAGTCAGAGACCCCGTGGGCATCTTCACAATGTGCAGGAGACAATACAGGAACCTCAAGGTGCAGGTTTCTTACTGAGATTGGGGCTGTAAGATTGACAAGGATCGATTTCATTTCTGTCTGTGAGGCTTCTCCCTGTGGTGAGAATTTTCTCAAGGCACTTTTGACCATCAAAGTGAGGAGTTGCTCAGTTAAGTAAATTAAGGTATATAATCACGGATTAAAGGAAGAGTTGTTTTAGCAAAGCAAAAGCACAGATTGTTTGTGGCCGGCTGAGAGGAGGGCAGCTGCTGCCCAGCATGGGGCTGTGCTGCGACCCTGATATGTTCTCTCAGCTAACATCCTGTCAGGGTTTTTCTTTCTGATTTGAGTCAAGAAAGACTCAAAGTATCTGATAGCTAGTTTGTCTCAAAGTGTTATTGCAAAGTGTCAGAAATTGAGCAACGCATCCAGAGTTTCCTTATGATAATTGAGAGTAATAAAGCTACGTATAGGCAGTGTCATTTGGAACAGAAGTAAATACAGATGTTGAGCCATATTTGCTATCTAGTGCAGGGACCATGGAGACTGAAAAGCTCTATCAGTGCCAGGCAGCCCAGCTCTCTGGGTTTAATTTTGGTGTAAAAGTACGTTAAGTCAGGCAAAATCACAGACGTGTTTATGTGAATGTTCACAGTCTCCAGGTCTTCCTCTTTTTAAAGGGGTCTTGCCTTGCTTTCTTATTCACAGTCACCATTAATGCACTGGAAGGAAAAGACTGCAAGGAATCTGTCCAGCTGATTGCAGAAAGTGCTAATCTCTCAGAAGAGCAACTTGCTTTCCTCATTTCTGGCATGTATACCCTTCTCCAAGAGGCATTGAGACTCCCTGTATCAACCTTCAAACAAGAAGTAAGTTCTGGGAGTACTTGGAGCCCTGATAAGTTAAAAGCTGCATGAGACATGAGTTACCATCTAAATCCTATTTACCAGGGTGGGGAGCTGCACACAAAAATGTTACTCCAAGTCAGAGTCGTTGTAAGAGACTGTTAAAGATCTAGAGCTTATTCTTTCACTTGGGTAGATTTACAGTGAGCTTTCTGAAAGGCTATTTAAGCTTTGGGAAAAAGATTCCTGTATCTATTTCTGCTTCAGCATCTTGTTTACTGTACATGTTTGTTTTCACTCTGAAATTAAAACCCCCAAAGAAACCGTAGCAAGGTTATTTCACAGGCATCCTCGCTCTCTCTTACCCTCACTGGGTGTTCACACATCACTCATTTTGTCCACACTTATCAATTCTCATATTTTCTCACCTGCCTTTGTTCGTATTTCTGCCATAGAGGAAGGAAAGTCTTATGGCCAGAACAGTATAGTGGAAATTGGAATAAAGTGCAATTTCCACTTCTGCTGTGGATGTTTGGTGTGAATATGTAGACACCTGCCATGTTCCCAACCCCTATCCCTTCTTCGTGCTATTTTCTCTCATTTTTCATGTTCTTTTACCTTACATTTTTCTGCTCTCATTTTATTTTTATGTGTGTGAATCACTTCTGGATTGCAGCACTTCTCTCTTGTGTGAGATACTGTTTCATATTTACTCAGGCATACTGGAAATGCTCCCATATTGCAGGAAACATAATGGAAATATGGTTTTAAATATTCAGACCTTACCTTTTGCACATCCTTTCTGTTGTCATAGTTTAAACAAGCTGCTGCAAAACATATTTGAGAATAAGGTCATATAGTTACTCAAAAAGAAGAATATGTTCTGGATAGCTAAGAAAAGTGGCAGAGAGGTTGTTTTGAAAAATAAAGGCTTTCAAGATATTGAAGTCTTTAAAATTAAATCACAACTTGATGGAACACTTGTGAAAATTCTTCCCGATATGTCACCTGTCATTTCAAAACTACTGGCACTCGAGACTAAAACTTTTGGGGAGAGATCCCAAGGAAGCAACCAGTATTGATTCACTAGGTAAGAAATGATCTTTTAAGGCTATATTGTATAAAATTTCACCTTCCTTGTCTTTCTAGGCTTTTAAGGAAGACCTGAAGGAGCTCAGGTATGCCTGTTTTTGCCTGTTTTTTAATGTTTATTTTTTCGTAACTTTTATGTAACTGCTTCCCCAGATCAACTTTTTTACATAATGAAGTTGGTATAAAAATTATCTGTAAATAGCACTTAATACATCTGTTGCCAAGCATCAAATAAAGCCAGAGACAAAAACCAGGTGTTGTGTAAGACTTGATTTAGCACTGAGCATGAGCAGTGAATTTCACATGCTGAGGAGAATGGTCTAATTTAGTCTGTAATGTAGGTTATGCAAATGTGAGTGACCTTCTCTCACCCATCCCCACCTTGCCCTGCAATATTTTTTAACATGTTTGGTAAGACAGTGGTAACATTCCAGAAGCTAAGGAAGTGCCCTACTTTTTCACTTCTTTGAAAGGCCAACTCTACCACTTTGTTCAGCTGCAATCTCTCCTGCCCATTTCCCAAGAAATCATAACCTTTGTTACAGGCTTTGCCAAAGTCTGTGTCAGTCTCTCCAGAGTATGTCTGAATAGAAGATAATATCCTAAAAGCTACATATTAGATGCTTATAATATTTATAGGTTTTCCCTTATGTCTATGTTTAGTAGCAGTGACAGAATAATAGTAGTTGATGTTTTCATCTGTAGAGAAGCCTCCTCACCAATTATTTTAAAATACTCTTTCCCCACAATTCTTAGCATTCTGATTGCTACCTAGGAGAAATAGATAAGTTTCTGATTCTGTCCTTTTTTTATCCTTATTTGTCTGTTAACCTGCACATTGGCTTTATCCTTGGGCTCTGCAGAGTCATAAGCATAATTTACTTCATGAGCAACTTCAGGCAAATTAAAGCTGCAGATGCGGTCGGGGAGTAATCAGCATAAGGTGTAATTGGGACCATGATGAAAGGTGCCTTGCTAGATACAGTTTTGTCTGCAACTCAGTGCTGGAGTTTGCCCTGCCTTTTGTCTGGGGAGCTAAAATGCAAGATGCTCCCTCTGCCACATCATGGAGTTCACACACAGATTAAAGTAGGTCAGTAAGAAACTGATGAATTGCTTTTGACCCAGTGGGAGCTGGTGTTTTTTGAGGTGCACACAAAATGTGTTCAGTTTGATTATGGAAAAATGAAGAGCACTAAAAGCTCCATGACAGGTTCTCTGGGGGTGAGTGAATATTCCTCTACCAAGTAGTGGAGAAAGTTGGTGTTGGAGTACCAGAAGTCACTGGCCAGGCTGGCTGTGTCTAGAAATACAAACTCACAGGTCCCTTGTCCATGTCATTTGACCACACTTTAATGCCTTACACTTCTGTAGTTTTTTGGGGTTTTTTTCTCACCTTATGGCTTATTCATGCACTTCATTTAGACATTTTTCAGTCTAGATGTTCTTTTTTATGTCTTTTATATCTCGACAAATCTTTTTATCTTATTTTCCTGGTTAACATGACTGATCTAGCAGCAGTAGTTTAGGTAACTGCATTTGTGTTGCTTGCAGACTTGTATGTTTTATGTGCTGCTTGTTGCTGCTATGCTCCCATGATTCTCACAGTACTGAAGCTCTTCCTAACTTCCATCTCTGACAGTCTTATTTCCTGTGAGTAGCTTTGTTCCCCTTGTGGCTAAACTTTTAGAAGACTAAATAGCTTATTCTACTTCAAGCTACGATACTTAGTAAGTTTGGTAGCACCTTTGGCATCTTTGGTTCCTATGGGAAATGTTATTTCCTACATTTCCCAATACACTTGGGTTTGGAGATGAAATGCCTGCATGTTTTCAAGGCACTTACTGATTACATTCAGACACTTACCCTCCTGCAATGGCTCCTGTTGGTCAGCGATCAAGGGCATGAAGAACACATATAATTGGTTGCAGTGTCTTGGCATCAGTGACACCCAGTGTTTGGGCAGGTATTTTGCAATTTAAGGCAGAAAAATGCCTTAAATTGCTTAATTTCCATTTTTGTGTTGTGTCTTCTTTTAAAAGATTTGAGCTCTGCACCAGGTTACCTTTTTTTAACTTCCTGCATTCTGTTTTCTTTCCCTTCAGTGAAGCTGAATTTTAAACTAATTCTCAATTTCCTGGTGAAGTACCTGGTCTTGGCTTCTAGTTTTGGTGGAGAGCGAGGCTATGAGACGTACCCACTTCTGATTAATTAGATCAGTACTGCTGGCTTCAAAGGGTTACCATTCCATATTCCTAATTTCCTAGCCTGAATGGCTGAGACAGCGAGAACAAATACACTCTAAATTGTGGCTGCTGATCTTTTCCCTTCCCTCTCAAACTATTTTATAACTTCATGGCTCACGTCAATAACATGGGATTGAGACATACTCACACATTTCTTGCTCTTAGAGTCCCTTCCTCAGACTGTTCCTTTGAAAACTGATTGCCATCTGTAGCTCAGGCTGAGCTGTGCCATGTTCTGTCTGATCTGCTTAGTGTGTGACTGGCCTCGTGTAAGCTGCTTGAGCCTGGAACAGAATTTTCAGCAAAATCATTGACCGCACAGCAAAAATCATGCAAACTCAAAGGTAGTGTCAAAGCTTCTGTTTTAGCAACACTTGCTCTTACTGTTGAGGAAATATTGTGATAGATACCATAATAACCATATTACAACTCCCTCTCTCCACCTGTCCCACTACACAGAGAGGATATCCAGCCATGGTCAGACTGGGTTAAATGATACATTTGCATGGACAGTATAAGTAATGTTTGCAGAAGTAGTCTTGTCTCTTCTGAAAGACAGACTCATGCAGCCAAAAAAGGACTGTTCTAATGCTTGCTAAAAAGAATTCCTTTTTATCCAAGCACAATTTAAAAATGTGGTGTAACCCCCACTTCTTCCATTAGAAATTTGAGCCGTAGTAACTGCTGTTTCATCTTCCCACTGTGTGAGTTGATGAGTTGTTTTTTCTCCTGTCATTAGACACTGTAAGCTCTTTAGGACAGGTAACTTCCTTGTCTGCTTTGATTTTCCTTTGATACACCGCTGTGTATCTCAAGCCACTGATGAGTAATGTCCCTGGGCACTGATTCATGGTGAGTGCTGGATTTAACTGTGGCAGCAGCAGTAGTTACTTCTCCCACTTGTCCAACTTGCCTCTGTAGGAGGTTACTGTCCGTGTGGCAAAGGCAGCTGAATGGAGAGTGTCTGCTTTGTAGTCTTTGCAATTCACAGCCTGATCTATTGAACTGAAAATCAACAGCAGCTTGTTTGTGAGGCAACACCAGTGTCGGAGGAATAGTAAAGAAGTGGAGAGGCACAGGGTGGATGGAGTGTGAGTTAGTCTGCTCCATCAGTCCTCATGTTAGGTATGCTCTTTCTCTAATTAGTGTTAGCTACAAGGCCCTCTGTTTTACTTTTGAGGGAGCAATTCCTTCTGTCTTCTTTTTATTATGCTTCAGGTGAAAGTGAAGTGAAATGTGTAGGTTTGGGATTTTTGAAAGCATGCATTGCTGGCCTGCCTTCTACACTCCTTAGATACATCAGTAAAAATTTTCTTGACTTTACTGAGTGAAGTTTAGCAAATATTGGGTTCTTTTGAAACTCACTGTTTCCATACTGGGTAGGACAGGAAAATGTAATACAGTGTTTAGGGTTCTTGATATAAAAACACAGGCTGTCCTTTTGAGAGCCCCAGTTGAATCAATACTGAAATGCTTACATAAGAGCTGATGGCAGTTTTAAGCAACGGAAGTCAGAAAATGTTGACACATCTTTTGTGCTCTATAATAGACTTAGGGTTTTTTTAGATAAGGCCATATAATTGTAGGTACAAAACACTTAACTTTTGTATTGCTCTTCTCTTTCAGGATACCAGAAGATTTCATTGTGGACTTTTCCAGTGTAGTCTTTGGTAACAGGTTGGTGTCTTCCTGTGTCATACATTGCACAGGCAGCAGGGTTGCACAGAGCTCTGCTGACACAAATCCCTCGCATACTGAAGGAACAGCAAAATTTTCTAAATTATTGAGAACAAGATTTGTCCTATTTTGATTCAGCACAGTATGATGTCCATCATGCATGGCTATATATGCATTAAATAGCTTTCATGGCAATTTTCAGTTTTTTCTGTGAACATAGTTTTTTATGATGTTCTATAGACTGTGAGGTGCATCAATACCTACAGATGAAAAATGCAGTGCAGAATTAAGCATTTTTGCCATCATTATCACTGGAAGTTACAGCAACAGTGAAAGACTTGCTGTGTCGAGAGGCAAGCTACATATGCCTTCTATTTGCTGTGGTTCGTGGCAGCTTTTTCAGGTAGCATTTCATCAAGTCTTAATATACAGTTGAATTGGGAGTTCACACTGGGTGACTTGACACATATGAGATATCAAGTGCTCTGCTAGCTGAAATTCATTTTTTGAGCAGTGTTCCTCAGTAGCTCCAGAGGAAGTACAAAATCAAGAGCTTTTTGAACTTACAGAAAAAGGGAATCCCACAAATGGTTCTCTGCTCAACCATATTTAGCTTATTCTACATCTAGAAATTTCTTGAACATTTTGCATGTGCAACACTTGTGAAGGGCCAGGAGTTGGACTTTGATGATCCTTGTGGGTCCCTTCCAGCTCAGGATATTCTATGATTACAACTTTCTTCCTTGAAACTTGAGGTCACTCAGCACACAGCATCACTAACCCCATGCTGCTCCAGATTCCTGGCATAGAATCCTGGTAATCATAGTTGTGGTATTTCAGTTACCCTTACAAGGGTCTGAATGCTGCTACCAAAGTTAAAAATATTTTTCATTTCCTTGATTAAGATCTTGGCTTACAGCTAAAGGTTCTTGAAGTAAAAATAAATTCAATCTTCTCATCTTTTCTTTGCTCTTCTGTTTGAATTATAGGTGTTAAGAATGCAAAATTCATGGTTGCAAAGTGGAAATATTGTTTGCAGTGGAAAAAGAAGATAAATTTAGATGTAATTTGAAACATGCATGATTGTCTGTTTTCTACTGTGAAATCACGATGCTCGAAAATTTAGCTTTTTCTCATTTTGAAAGCTGTGATTATCCAGTGTAATCTTGCTCTGTGTTTTGAGACCAGAGAAGAGCACCTCAGATTTGATTTCTAGACAGATCTGCTTTTATAATCTTAAATGTAACACTGAATCATACATTTGCTTATTGAGTTGTAAATATATATGATTGTGATGGTAAGAGATGTATTAGCATCTGATCAAAAATTCAGTATGAGCTAGATAACCCAGAAAAATCCATTTTTAATACTTTTCCTGGCATCTTATCCTATTTTGGGAATTCTGTTCACTGAACAACAGCTCTGAAGAATTTGACATTTGTATTTCTGTGTCCCCACAATTCCGTCAAGCTACATAGACTGAAAGAAAAACTTACCACACTGACACCATCAAATAACTGCATCAAATTAAAACATTTTTAAGGGAAAGGAGAACTCTAACTTCCCCCTCTCTGAATGGTTATAATAAATGCACCGCTTTTTTTTTTCAATAGTGTAGCTTTAGTTTCTACCAGAAGGGTGCATTCTGTGCGCCATTTGTCAGCATTTCACACATACCAGTTTATTCATTCTTCCTGTTCGCTGACCTGCTAGGCATGTCTTGTAACGGGCATAGGGAACCATCCAGAACTTGTCTTTAGTTTTTATATTGTTAGGTCAGCTGCTGCTCCAAGTTCTCTGCTCTTTCATTTTCGAGTGCTCTTGTGTTGCATCCTTTGGCAGATGATGTTCTTGTCACTGGGGGTATCATCCTTTCCACATATAGCTTAGATGATCTCTGGCTGATCCGTGGTCCTTTACTGGTTCTGACTTCTGCTTTTGCATGATGTGCTGACAGTACATTGCACTCTGCTGGTAGAGAGTGTTTATAAAATGTAATTACAGGCTACAGGTTTTGGATATAAGATTCATTGAGTCTTTCCTGCTCCATTTTGCTATTCCTCTTATAAATCAATGGCTTGCTTAACAGCCTGTATAATTTCTGTATGTATCTTGGCCACTATGCACATTCTGTCATCCTTACAGGATTCTTGCAGTTCTAGTTGTAGTCTTGTCCAAGCTGGGAAGGTCCTGACAGAAGCCTAAACTAATCTATAAAAGTTGTGACTCTTCCTGAGGGAATGGCACTGAAGTGCAGTCCTGACCAGAAATAAAGCTTCATATTTGGCCACAGAAATGCTGTCACCCAACAATATTCAGAAGCTTCACCTCTGTTTAGGAGGTCACCATTGCTGATCTTTCCCACCATGGCTAATTAGAACATCCTCCTGTTTTTTCTACTCCTTTCTTCCTCAGAGTGCTGGTCCTGCACAGAATGGACTGTCTTCCATTGATGGGAGTTAGCATGTCTTAAGGAAATGGTAGCAGTGTGGCTATTTTTAGAGATTCTCCAAATTAAGCTATTGCAGCTCTCCACTGAGGGAAAGGTCTGTTCTTACTGTTTAATCCTGCTAATGACTGTTCTAGACTCCAGCTCCTCATGGTTGCACCCAGCTGTGGTGACCTACTTCCTATCCAGGAACTGACAGTGAGTAAGAACCAGCTGATCTGCTTTTTTTTTTGCTCATTCCTTTACCATACTATTAGGAATGTGTGTCATTTCTGACACCACCCAACCCCCCCACCAGAAGGATAAATTCTTCCTTATATCACCTTTATGAAAATCAGGAGTATTGGAGGATCTCAGCCTGTCGGTCCTGTGTGCCTTATTGGATCATTAATCTTTCCAGGCAGTTTCTAAAGGCACCAGCTAACTTACACACAAGCATCTGAGTAGGGATGTTAGAGTGCCATTCCTACAGTCCTTGATTTGTTCAGAGAGGATTCCCTTCTGATCTAAAGTCTGTAATTAGATTATGTCTAGCACCATGGATAAAGGATGTAACATTTCTTATCCTGCCCTTAGTGGGACTAATGGAGTAGCTTTGAAATGTACCGTAAATAACTTCCAGGGACATGGGATGCTTAGGAAAAAAAGTAAATATGGTAAGTAACACGTAGTCCAGAAGACCAGCTCAATGACCTCATTCTGAAATTATTTCTGCATATGCATCCAGAAATGAACAGTTGTTGTGTGTTTGTATAAGATTTGGCTTCTTCAGTTACCTAGAGCTTAAGATGCTGTTCAAACTTTGGAGATTGTCAGCCATCTGAAGTTTGATCGCTATCAATTGTATTTCCTTACAGAAAGAAACTAGGGCTTGATCAGCGTAATTCTTACTGCAATATGAGCAATAAATAAAGTGCTTGGCTTTTTACACATTAGACTAGGCAAAAATCTTGAAGGTTGCGCTGGGCTTGGCAATGCACATTATATAAGGAATTTAAAGTTTGTAAATTATGTTGGATTAACAGGAGCCACTGATTTTTTTTTAAGTATGCTTCAAAATACACTCAAAAGACACTCAGTATTAATATATTTTGAAACATTTCTGCTTGCCAATACTAGATGCTTTTTGCTGAAGAAATACGATGACCTTATCCAAGTGTTTTGCTTAAGTCATGTCTTGTTCCTGCTTGCTTATTCCTGTTGGATCTGCATGTAGATAAAGATATATTTGCAGGTCCCTTTCTGTGCCTCACAGCTGCATAAAATTGAAATAGCAGATATACCAGCCACCACAGTGACTCTTACTAAACTTTATAGTGGCATCAGTTTACTGGAATTACACAGTCACTTGGTGTCTTTTTTCAACATGGACTGTAGTTAAGCATAGGAAAAGGGGATAATCTGAGCATAGCTGTCTGTAATCCACAATACCTCTACTCATTCAGACCTCTCTAAATGAGGACAGATGTAGGAGAGAAACAAGTTCCAGACAGGTTTGTTCTGAGGAATCATATTTTCTCTTTAGATTGTTTTTTCTTTTATGAGTTTGCCTTTCAGTCTCCCATTTCTGATTTACTCTTCAGGCGTCCTGCTTCCGAAGGCACAGCTCTGCTACAAAGAAGTAGGCTACCAGGTATCCAGGACTTCAAGTGGAGAGTGGATGTAGCAATATCCACAAGGTATAAAAGAGAATCATGCATGTCCCTGGAAGTTGTTTTACCTAAGCTTAAACTCATTTCTTGGGCTGCTTAAAGATGTTAACAGGGTTAAAATGTATCTTGCTGTTCGGGATTGGCATGGGTCATTAAACGGTGAGATACAGATGGAATTTTCTGAACAGGGTAGGTGTTAGTGTATATACGCGTTATTGTTGTTAACATTTCACTCAAAGTGTGAGTCTCTCATTTTAAAACTTAATGGAGCTGATACAAATCCACAAGTCCTGAGAGATGGAGGGAATAAATTAGATGGATTGAGCCTCGAGCAGCCAGGCAAACTCTCAGTTTCACTGGAACAGGGGAGGGAAATCATCTATTCAACTTCTCAAGTTGACTATCATTTTATGTTGCACATGTTAAAATGACTTTGCATCCCCTCTACAGTCTGCTGCAGATTCTACAAAGAGGGGGTTCAGAACAGCACCTTTACACTGCCACAGTTATGCAACTGCTCACTGTACTACCTCCTGGTTTCTTTCACAAAACAGGAGCAAAGGCCTTTGTGATCATCCTGCCTGTGCCTGCAGTGAGTGGCTTCTTGCCATCTGCCACAGCAGAGGCAGCTGGAGGATGGATCTTTGGCACAGAAACCTGTTGTCTGTGCTGTTTTGATCTCTGTCCAGTTCTAACCAAGACAGACCAAGATGAAAGAAATTAGAACGTGATCCAGTATTTGTTAGCATAGTAAATTATTAGCATGAGTGACTTCATAAAGCATTCATGAATACCTGCATCTAGGAGAGAGTGCAGCTTCTTTGCTGCCATAGTTGAGAGGTCCGTGGGTAATCAGGGATTGTCTTCCTGAAATCAAGAAAAAAGGTTCCTAAGTAAAAATGGTAATGGCCAGAAGCTACTAGTTCAGGTGATACTGCCAAGCAGTGCTGTAAGCACCACACAGGTATCACTCTGCAGAAAAAAATCTGTACCTATAAGAAAGCAAAATGTCCAGATAAACATCCTCAGGCACCGTGCTTGCAAGCTGCAAGCAAATCCTATGATTTGTTTTCCAAACAGCACAGGAGCAATACATTATCTTTTTTTATTTTCCTTCCTCTTATTTTCCTTTCCAGTTAACCTTCCCCCTGGGATTTCTTGTTTGTCACCCAGCAACAGCCTCTGCAGAGAGGTATGGTGGCTTTTGGCTGTAGTGCCTGTCAGTACCTGAGCAGGCTTTGGCAACGTCAGTTGATGGAAGCTGCACAAGAATGACTCATTTCCTTTCTTTGGGTCATCAAATAAAATAACAACACACAAATGTACCATAAAGAGTGGAAGAGCTTGATTCCCCAAATGAGGTGGCAGTTGAAAATATGAAGGGGTGGAAAGGATGGTAAACTGCATAAGAAAAGTGTGCATTATTATTAGCAGTACTTGGTCAGCTCTTATCCCTATCATAGTTCCACTAAGTTGATTACATAAAAACAAAAATGCTCCTAAACTTTTAGTTCCTAAACTATTTTAAAAATGTTTAGTCTCAATGCTGAGATAAATTGGACAGGACTCTTATGTTCATGAGTTTCAAGCCAGATAGGTAAAGGACTCTGAGACTGAAATTACTCATATTCTGAGTAAAGCCTGCATGAACATCCAAAATGGTTAATGTGCAATGCTGTAGTCATCACACTGCTGATGTCTGCTGCTGTGATACTAATAATGTAAATAATTTCAGTTCACTGGCCCGTGCACTTCAGCCATCCATTCTGATGATGATGAAGCTTTCAGATGGGACAGCTCATCGCTTTGAAGTAAGTCTGATTGCCATAATAAATAAAAAAGAAACCACTTGAAGTTTTATTTAGAAAGTTGAATTATTATTTAAAATGCTAAAGCTCTTTTAAACAATGTGTTTCCATTGCTTGGTTTGCTTTGGAATCCATCATGTTCAGTGTAGTTGCATACAATATATAATGAAACACCAACCAAAATCATTTCATACCTTGTTCCTACACACATTCTGCTGAAATCTAATTTTTTAGAAGAAAATTACTGAAAAACACTGTTGCACAATATCTGGTTTGATTAAAAATTATGGGGTTGTTATCAACTGTAACCTTCAGACCTGAGAGTGGCTTCTGAGGGCAGGAAAATTACTGAGGTAGTTTATATAATGTATGATACACTTCTAAACCTTCATTTTTCAGAGAATGGTAACATTCTCTCCTGTGGCAGAGGTAGTTTTATTCTTTTTCTTCAGTACCATTCTTGCTGCTAGAAAGTAAAAAAAAAAAAAAAAAAAAAAAAACCTTTGCTTTTTACCTCAGACTTAGTCAGTGGCAGTATTTATGACACTGTACCTAAAGGCTTGCCAGAAGATGGCATAAACTCTTCCATAATTTTAACCTTTGGAAAGGAATGCTGTTTGTTCTATAAATAACATGGTGGTGCATACAGGAATTCAGAGCACAGCAGGCATTGTTACATTTGAACTCTGTACAGATTTTGGCTTCAGTTCCCGGGTTAGTAGTAATCTGGAAGGAGCACCAAAGCCCTGTGGGTTGAAAGAGGTGGACTGATTTTACTGTTAAAATGTTGTGCAAGAAAGCAGCTGTTGAGGAAGGCATGAATTCTGTGCTACACTGCAAAATGTTAAGGGTGTCACTTCACAGGAGGTCAGATTTACCACTCTGGACAGTCCAGCTCAGAGCATCCCAGATGCTCTGTTTGACATCTTCCATGGAACTTAAATGATGCCATGGTAGTCAGGTTAGCCCTTTCCAACAGGGTAAGTTTCACTTTTGAGATTAAAAGCTAGTATATATTCTTTACTGTTTAGATCTGGGGCTTTATTTCCTGGCATAGAATGTCAAGTCTTTGTCTTGGTGCTATTGTTTCTGGTTGTTTTGGTTTGATTTTAGAGGTATTTTTTCTTGTAAGTCTGTGAAAGACCCTTTGCTATTTGGCAGTGGAGGTGTGTTTATCCAGAACACACAGGAGTGCAGATATCTGATAGCAAGCAATGTGCTTCTCTTAGAATCAGCTCTTTGCTGCTGCTGCTTAGATCTTAGATCAGTCTCTGTCTAACACAGAACAGATTTCCATCCATTTGGCTTCTCGGGCTTGAAATGGTAGAGAAGAGTCCATAAATCTCCTGCACAGCTGAAAATGCTTTAAGTTCAAGCAAAGTCTTTTGCCTTCCATGTATAGACAGTGCCCAGTGCCCTTTGCTCCTGAGGCTACTGCCAAGTCTCTTGCCCCGAGTCTCAATTCCTTTCTCTTGCAAGTTTGGACAAGCAGTATCTGTAATTTGTGTTTGAGAATTCTGTAGGCTCCACAACATTCCAGGTGTCTTTGTCTTTCCTTCCAATCCAGGACTCTTACTTCACCACAGCAGTCCTCAGTTTACATTCTGTAGTATTTCCTTTCTTCCATCAGGCAGTACAGAAAATGTACTATGTAGCTGTTATTTCTGGTTTTTTCCACTCTCCTTTTCCACATGGATTTAGTTGAATTAACTGAATGTTATTAACCTCAAATCCTTTGTCTTAAATCTGAGAAAAATTGTATTTTAAGAGAGATTGCGCTGACACTGCAATGTTTCCTATCCATAGGCATGCTCTGGTGAAAGTTCCTGAGATGTCTTCTGTTTTCTAACCTGAATATTCTGTTTCAGGTGCCAGTTGCAAAGTTTCAAGAATTGAGATACAATGTTGCCCTTATACTGAAGGAAATGAATGATTTGGAGAAGAGGAGCATACTGAAGATCCAAGACTGAACACTTTTAAATTGGGAGTTTATGGAAGAGACCTGGAACCCTCAGCATGTTTTGTGAATAGTCAGAACAGGGGACCATCACCACTTTGCCTGTATGAACTTCAATGTGACATTTATGATGTCTACTGTAAATATTTTTTTTCAATTCAAGTGTTTAAAAGCACAAGCTCTTTTTGTAAAACTTAGGAAAACCAGAAAATATATCTGTGAAAAAACATAATGCTGTTTGCGAGCATTTTGCATGATTCATCAAAACATTTTTCAAATAACTGTCTTAATAGATGTAAGAGTCATTTATTTCTGATTATGATTCATCACTTTAATTATTTTTGAAAGTCTGCTACCGGAAGCCCCAGCAATGTGTATGTATCATAAGAAAGCTCTGCAATACTTCAAATAAAAAATAATACAACAAACCCACTCCTGCCTTCTAGTATGACAAATGCAGTCTTAAGTTTTGCATAAGTAAAATTGTTGTCTGGCTTCTCACTAAGTGACTAAGGTCTAGCTGCAGACTAAAGGCTAATTTGAAAGAAAATTGGAAGCCTGTGGATCAAGAACAAAGTATCAGCTGAGCTTCCAGGACTAATTCCATGAAATTACAGAAGTGGGAAAGTGCAGTCTTAAGTCTTTATCTGGTTGATCATAATGGGCTAAATAGCAGTCATCTCATAGGTTTCTAAGTGGAAATGCCTGTCGCTTGTTTCATGTATGGCCTGTATGTTTGATTGAATGAAATCAGCTGACATGGCTGGGCAGAAACCTCTGGGCCTGCAGTGCTGGTGAAGTGGGAGGCAGTGATCTTGTAGCCCACTACACCATGGGCTCATTACCTGTGCAGGTCAGACCCTGGATGGAGGGGCTGCCTCCGGGATGAAAGTCACAGGTGGGAGGAGACCCAAGCCCCCAGGTCAAGAAAGGAGTTAAGCATAGGCTGAAGTTCCCTGAGGTGCTCCAGCAGTTGGACTGGATGGTCATTGTAGGCCCCTCCCTTTCAACAGAAATAGTCTATAATCATTCTTTTGCCCCATGGGTTAACCTCAGAAGGACCCCCTTAACTCCGAAGCAGATGTTTTAAGTCTCATTTAAATGCTGTGGGACCACAAGTATGTCCCTAAGAGTTTTGCCAAGAAGGGATGCATTCCTCAGTCCTTGGCTGAGTGAATTTTCCCCAGCAGCAGAGATCTGGAGGCTGTGAGCAATGGCCCAAAGACAGCATCCTAGAAGTGGAGGCTTTATCTGGCTGTCAGGTGTACTTTAGAAAGCACATGCTACTGCCACGGTTAAGCCTTCGCTTATTCCAGCTAATTGCAGGGTTTCTGTCTCAGTAGTACCACCCATACTTCTCTCTCTCATGTTTTGTGATTATAGAACTTGCCTTTATCTTCCTCACCCCCTGCAGAAAACTACTGAAGTTAAAATTGTGGATTTGGGAGGCCTTTTACACTCCCACAGATGTTTGTGTAGGAAAGGATGACTTGGCTTTTGGATTCTAAAAATCACAACAAGCATAATAAGGCTTATTTGTCATACTTTTTAAGAGGAGACTTCTTTAAAAGCAGTCCATACCAATCTAAAGATAGCTGAATAGCTCTGGTCCAGAAAGCTTTTAAAACCCAAGCAAGAATGTGTCCTGTAGTTTCAAACCATCAGCTACAATTTCAAACTGTTCAAAAGCTGCATGTTCCATTTGCTTTGTAGGGGATTCATCAATAACTTCCAGCTTTGATCCATAATGCATCTTAGCTATTGTGTTCAGGGAACACCAAACACCAAAGCACAGAAAGAATTAGCTCCTGTACCTTCAAGTGGACTGTGGATTGTGTTAATTACTCTGTGAGGCTTCTTCATCTTCTTTCTGGAATTACATTATCACAAGCTGTGAAATAAAACTTAGATCATGATGTTCCTTGCTACAGCCTTTCCCTTCTGGATTTATAAGGTTTATGAGGTTTCAAACTGCAAAGATAGCTCAAACTGAGCCTAAGGGAAGTCTTCAGACAAACAGAATGCTGCATGGGGATAAAATGACCTGTTGCTCAAGGCATTTGCAAAGTAATTTTCTGGTCAGAGTAAAAAAATCCATTAATACCTTTACCTTCTAGACAGAAAATATTAATTCAGTTGTTCTCCTGTAACAGCAATTGGCCATGTTCCCCAGAAATGGGGAGGCTTCCTGACTCTGTGAACATGAGGAACCCTCACTGGGTTCCTCGTGTTCTCTGGACCACTTGGTCTCAAATTTGTCTTGCCACACATTAAGCAGGAGTTGGCTGTAATCAGAGGTTTACCTTGTATGCTGAGGGTACTTGAACACTTTGGATGTTCATTCCTCTGTACTTAAGAGTAAATTTGGGCTTTCCTTCTGACATATTAGCTTTCCAGTAAAACAGAAGTTGTCACCCAAATGGCTAGTGGGAGTGCGTAGTGGATAATTCCTCAGTTTTGATGAGATGTGAGTCTTCAAAGAACTGTTAAGTATCTCAGAACTTCATGGCAAACTACACATTAAATATTTTTCAATGCTGAAATGTCTTACTCCTTCATGATTAAAATACTCTAGAACTTGAATTCTACTGCATTTATGACTGTAGCCCTTTCACTCTAGTACAGAACAGACATGAGCTTCTAAGAACCTGGATATGGTTGAACAGAAATTATTTTACCCAGCTCGCTCCAGGTTTGGTTACGCTTCAAGGGCATGCTGTGAATCCCCCTTCCAGTATCCTGCGGTGAGAGATACAACCTGAGTGGGCCGCTGGCTCTGTCAGTCCTGAGGTCTTGTCAAGCTGATCACTACTCAGTCATCAATTAGGCAGGCAGGGGTTTGCGTGGGAAGGGCACTGGGGTTTTTTCTTATTACACAGTTCATGGACCAGTAGGTAACAAGAACCTTTCTCAGGCTCTGTTGGTATTTTTCCCTGAAAAACAACCCTCCACGATCACGTTGCTCTCTCTGTTGGTGCTTGCATTTATTTAGACTGGATAATGTGTTTGCATCTGAATTCTAGTGATTTTCTAACCATGGCATATGAACATAAACTTCTCCATTACACTTTTTCTTTAATTTTCTTTATAGTTTATGGAACATTATCACTTTTCTTTTAAGATTAATGTGCAAAATAGATTTAAAATAGAACTTGGACTTGATTGCTTTTCAATGTAAATTATGTGTGTATGATAGCAAAGATACCCAGTACATGAAGGAGTAGTCACAGTAGGCAGAATGCAAAAGGAGAGGTAAAGATAGTTGCCAAAAGTCATTCAGAGATTCAGTGGCAAAATAACCCAGAAGAACTGATATGTCTTCCCTTCCTGTTCCCTATCTGTAAGTTAGTGCAGCTTCCTGACATACTGGTCAGGCTTCACACTCGACACTTTTTTTAATTATCTCAGCTGTATGGGCCATCAGTCCAAATCTGTTCTTGCTCATGGACTACTACAGTGTGGGCAGAACACTGGAGAATAAAAAGCCATCTGTGGCTGTACTTGTGATGTGACTTTTCACATCCCTACTTCCACTAGAGAAGGAGCTTTGTCAGCGTGACTGGTGGGGTGGAATTTCACACTTGGGTTAGTTGTGTTTGAGAGAGGAAAGATGCAGGTTTATTGATGGCTTTTGTGGTCTCAATGCCTGATGCAGTTTATAGATCCAGAAAAAGGCTGAAGAATGTAGTCATGCTCTCATACAGCCTGTTATGCCAGCCATTAACTGCTGGAAGGAGATCAGTATTGTGCTCATTGTCATTAAAAGGAAAAAATTAAACCTCTCTTTGTAGAAAAATCATACAAGGGAGATGTGCTTTTGCAGTGAGTCACCTCCTCGCTTTAACTTCTTCTGTTTAAGTGAAGGATAAATCTGTTCTTGATCTCATGAACAATGCAGGTAGGCAGGAGGGTGCTTTTTTTCCTTTTTCTTTTTCCTTTTTTTTTGCTTTCTAATCAAGTATACCTCATGACCTACTGCTGCTCCAAATCCATGAATATATGTATGAATGTATGAAAACTCTGTGCTTTCAGGATGTGTTATATAAAAACACCCCAGCATATCTAGATTATGTATGTTCAATTCACACAGCTGTTTTTGCTAAAAAAAAAAAAAAAAAAAAAAAGTCGTTGCAGAACCAGGCCTGATATCAGAATCAAATATTTTGTAGTTGTTTGACTTCTAGTGAACAGTAAATTAGTATCTTGGCTTTAAAGTATTTTGCTGTTGGTGACTGTACAGGTCATTATGTACCTGTCACACCCCACCAAGTACTAACATTTACCAAACACCACTCACGTACCAGGAACTAGCAGAGGCAGAGCCAGCTGGTTTCTCCCCTAGGAAGTCACAGAGTTGTTGCCCGTAGGCCATCTGTGATAAGGTCTTAACTGTTTTCTGGCTTGGGATAAAGGTCTGTGTTCTGAACCCTTCTAAGCACACGGCTTCCACCACAGGAGTAGTTCATAAGCACAGCTTCCCTTTTCCCTTGAAACGTTCCAGCCACGTCCCTGCTGCTGGAAAAGAATTCCCAGAAGTGCATTTCACAGTGCTTTTTTGAGACTCGCTTCAGTCCAGAGCATCAGCCAGCCCTGCAGATGCTTTCATACATTGCAAATAGGAACTGTGGAAGTTCCTTTCAGAGTGCAAATGCTGATTACATTTTTTATGATAATCTATTCCCCTTCCCTATCTAGAATTCATGTGCTGCTCCCTTTATACCATGACTTATCTCTTTAAGTGTCTGCTATGTAACTATGTAAATACTGGTGGCGTATCCCTGATAGAGAGATTGTCACTGCATTGCTACTGGTAACCAGTGGTTATGTCACTTTCCCTCGCTTGAATAGGCTTTGACTCATAGTGGTTTTCAGGACAATGGTTATAAAATAACACACTGAGGGGTTGCCGAGACTATAGTTTTGCAATAGAGACAACTGCCAACCTCAAAGCTGCAAGAAAGCATTTTTCTCTTCTTTTTTTTTTTTTTCTTAAGGGTTTTGTTCTGTTATAGCATGAGATCTTGCATAGAAGTTTGGAAAACAAGAAGTCTATGTTAGGAAGCTGGAGTCTGGTGGGAAAACCCCATACTCCCAAGCTAATTCTTTCTAGCTGTTCTGAAGCAGTGCTTAACTGAAATTTAAAGTGCTTCAGTTGTCCTGCCTTTCTTTGAATTACTTGCTGTGAGGCTGTGCTATACTTTAGATTCAAGTATTATTTAAGCGATGGCAGAAAGAAGTACTGAAACCAGTGGTTTTTCAATTCTTTTTCTGAGTAAAGGGTTTGCCTAAGAACAACAGTTAGATGTTGAACTCATTAATTCAAAGGGTATATTATTAGAAGTTAAGATCCAGAATTTAAGCAGCTTTAAGTTATTTTTTTATCTTTAAGTTCATTCGAACTTTGTCAAGTACCCTCTCTAAACAAGGTCTTA